TATATATATATATATATATTGCGTAATACTAATTTTTCGAAATCGCAAGATACAGAAATCTTTAATATATACGAATTGTTTTTTGCGACAGGATCTGACGCATCAATTGCACGCTACTGCCTCCGAACTGCAAGCCGCACGAAACAGCTGGCCATGGTTCAGTAAAACCTTATCCAGTATAAAGGAAGCAGCGAATAAGAGGGAGGTCTTGGCCCCGGGTGCGCTGAGAGATCTGAGACGCGATAGCGCACCCGGAGGCGACTTGCATCATCTGATACATTCTCGAAGCCGCGATGCGCGGGACAGTCTCAAGGAAGTTGTGTGATGCAGTAAGTATTTCTTTAAAATAATAGAGAGAATAATTTTTATAACAAAATCAAAGTATTAAAATAAAATGCAATATTTACAAAATAGTCATATAGATAAAGAGCTCTTTTTATATGTATTATTCAAGTATTAGTCAAGAAAAAAATATTTTATAGAAATAATCGTCAATATTTCATTGATGTTATAATTTTAATATCCTTCCTTTCTCTCTCTCTCTCTCTCTCTCTTTCTCTGCATGAACGATATATTTCATACTCTATTCGATAATCTTTCGTTTTCACTAATACTTTTGCTACACAGACAAAATGCCAGTAGAAGAAGAAGAATACGTATACTTTGGAGTCAAATGTGCCAGGCACAAATATGTGAACATGATGTATATCCGTAGTTACATGTAATGTACGACTTAATCTGTTCAGTCAATGATGTAATTCTTTATCACGCTCTCCGCCATATAACGCACGTCAAAGTGCTTTTCATCAGGCAGCCCAATTTACGTACCATATATTAATAATTATATATTGAAAATTTGTGTTACATTTTTGTTCTTTAAAAGTAGATTAATTTCTGTGATCTTTTTCTTTTAATACTCTACGAGTATAAAAACGCTTATATTAATATTATTTTACGTTTATTTTATTTTTTCTTTTTTTTTTCTTTTTATTTAGCATATGTAAGCAGTGTGAGCTCTCTATGCTTGATAAAGATAAAAGAAAATAACATATATATAACATCATACTACTACGCGGGTTACTAACAATCAACAATTTTACCGCCAAAAGAAACACATTATGTACGCAAACATACGGTAAATTATTTATAATATTAAAAAATACAAAGTAAGTAATATATGCCGCGTTTTGTATGAAACTAGTCTAAGGATGAAAAGGAGACAATGTAGAAACTTTTACTGTGTATATATACAGTGCATTCAAGTAATACGACAAATGCGTGATTGCAGATATATACAGTATAAATCAAGATTATATCGCGTAACACCAACCAAGATTTGTTTCGTTTATTTTTTCGTTAATTAATTTTATCCGGATTAACATAACATTCCAAAATAGTGTGAATGCGTTTTTTTTCCATTGCTGGTTTTTATTATTAAGTCACTATTTTCTGCAATGATTTCAGTTCAACTCTGACGTAATTGACGATAATACGTACGTATAGTTATGACACTTTAACTGATTCGCAATTAGTGTGTTAGATTTGATATTAAAAGTTTTCACTCTGCTTTTTAGTTTTATATATATTTTCGTCACTGATAAAGGCGCGGGCGAAGCGTATTAATATTTTATCTCTTGTTCCATAATGAGACATTAATCATACAAATGTAGCGAAATAGATTATGCATGTAAAAAAATATACAATAGATGCGAAATACTCAGAATTTTGTTTAGTTGCAATTTGCACTTTGTTTTGACATAATCTGTAGCAAGAGACAAACACTATTAAAAGCCATAATTCTTATGGCATTAAGGCACTACTTAAAAGCGCAATTCTATCAAATATATGTAATTTTATCTAGTATCATAAGTGTTTCAACAATAAATTTGCTATATACCCCTATAGCACATTCTTGACTATCAAACTTAGCTTTGTAAGTCGTGCCATTTACTCAAATAGAATATATATTTATTTATACATATTTGCATTTAAAAAATAAAGAATTGTTACGCAAATATTACTAAAATTGTCTGTATTAGAATTCTACAAGCATATTCGTTTGTGCCATTAAGTTATACAGTCAGATTTATTTGAAGCACCGATTCAGGTTTATTTAATTTCCTCATTAAAAAAAAAATTTATTAAAATGCGATAAAATTAAGGAATAATGTGTACACGATTGCAAGCAAAGTTTATGGTCACGTTTAACTTGTGCTTTAGCGAATAAACAGTTGTATTACCCAAAAAATGAAAGACTTTATTTCTGTAAATATTAAAAACAATCGAAATGGTCTATTAACAGAATTATGTAAAGTTGTAAGCTAACCTTACGTATAAACCATATACATACACATTGTATACCCTGTAATTTCATTCCACTATTATTATTGAAATAAAGGAAGATATCGCACGTCTCTCCATGTAAAATATTTAATATTAAGAAATTCATAACTTTTATGCCATATAATATGTACATGCTTTTCTGTATTAGTTCAAAATATATTGAAGACATTATATCTACTCAGATTTTATATAGATTTTATTTGCCCAAAGCATGATTATGAACATAACTTATGCAGTCTCAGTCTTAGGGGTAAAAAGTTTTAGGAAATTATAGTCAATCACGAAATAACTCAACATTCATAACATATCATACATTTATGACAATAATATATCAGAT